AGCTTAGCTAAAGTCAGGATGTGACTGCTTGTAAATTTGTATATTTCATATATATATCTTTCTACTGATATTTATTTGTAAATATTGTATCCCCATCCAAGTTTGTTCCCTTGTCTCCTCCTTTTTTTCTGAATGGGATGCCCCGTTCCTGGGTTCAGAAACAATTTTTGTTGTCCCCCAGCCAGTGAGGACATGGCTGTTTTTCAGTGGGGGGGGGGGGGGGGGTGAATGTAGCACCCTCCTAGTTAGCCAGAGGGAGCTTTATAATTATTGTTTCATTAGAAAGCTGAGTAGCAGCCTGGGTGATAGTCAGGTAAAATTCGGATCAGGGCTGAGAGGCTCTGCAGATCAGCTCTCTGATACCCCCCCCCCTCCCCGATCTAGAGGCTTGGAGAAGTCTCTAGAACTCAGTGGGCAGGGGCGAGGAGGAGCTGGTCTGCACTCTTGAAGGATCCTGGCCAATCCCCAGGCAGAAGGCTTGGCATGGAGTAAGGACAGCCCTTAAGAGTGACTGAGCCTTATCAGAAGCAGGGAGAGTTTGAGTGGAAGATGTAGAGAAGGCTGAGATGCAGAGACGTGGGAAGGGTATCAGTGGGAACAGGCCTACTTCCAGGCAGGGCTGCTGGAAAGGAGGATCACTCAACCTCAGGAGTCCCCTGAGCTGACCACCTGTGCAGCAGGGAAAGAGCCAGACCAGCAGAAGGCCTGAAGGCAGTCACCAACCCAACAAGCACACAGGAGAGGAAGAGTGAGTAATCCTACATCCCCTGGGCCAGTTAAGGGGAAAGGGGCATTCTGGTGGGAAAGCTGACTTTTTACCTGGGACTGTTTCAACTTAAAGTGGCAGGCACCGGATCCACTTGCCCCAGGATTTCATCCAGATAGCTGGATGAGAAGAGGATTTATCTGGGGTCTGGGTTGGTACACCAGGAGAGGCTGGGGAACTCTCCAAGAACTTTTTCTGTAAAAAGACTTGTACATAGTTGCCAGGAAGTTGTCCTCAGTTTACTGTTCCTTGGAGATCCCATATAGCCCTTAACCCATCCAAGATCAAATACCCCTAAAAAAAACCTAAAAACCAAGCTTAATGACTATTTATTGTCTCCTGTATGCAAACTGGAATGTAATCTGAAGAAAATGCATGTTGCCTGGGGGGTAGTGCTACACTGATATCAGAAACTAAGCTGCTAAGAAGTAGACAGTTAATCAATAGCCTATAATACTGCATGCAGGTTCCCACAAGGACTATGCTTGTCAGGGTCCTGTCCACGGCAGAAGTTCTGGAAGATCTGGCATTTTTGCCAGTACTCTACATGGCCGCAGAAGTACACCTCAGCTGACCTCAGCTTGGCTTACGGATACTCTCTCTTTCTCGCTCCTCTGTGTATGACCTCGGCTATCCCATCTGACTACGTCTGCTCTGATTCCCACCTGGTAACTGACCTTGGCTTGAACCGACTACCCAGTAAACATCTAAATCCTGGAAGGGCTTGCATACCACGCACAGGCGCCTCCTGTCTGCAGACCTATCTCCGTGCACCAGCTGTGCTTCTGAGTGGACCACCAGCCAGCACTCCTACAGGCGACCTGTGCAACTATGGGCCTGACTCCGACCGTCCCACTCTCAGGGGAGTCCGGAACTTAGCCGCAAGTGAAGCCCTCTCTCCATTGGCCTCCATCACCAGGTACGTTATATATCATCCAGCCAGTATGTCCGAGGCAGAGAGAGGCGCTTCCGCACTAGAGGCCCTGTGCCAACAGATGACGGCACTCACCCAAGCAGTGAAGGATCTACAGCAAGGATACTTCCAGCTGGAAGGGCGTCTTCACTCCCTCTCTACTTCCGCGGACCAGGTTCCCTCTGCCAGTTCCAACCCAGTAGCCGCACCTGCCAGTCAGTCTCCTGCCACCACTCCTGCTATAGTGTTACCACCACTGGAACCCAGAGTTCCTACTCCTGAACGTTTTCTCGGGGATCGACGTAAATTCAGAGCTTTCAAGAATGCCTGTGAATTATATTTTGCTCTGCAACCCAGGACCTTTTCTCTGGAAGCAGTCAAGGTCGGGTTTATCATCTCCCTCTTGTTTGAAGAACCTCAGTCTTGGGCACATAGTCTTCTGGAACAAAAGAGCCCAGTGCTCAATTCAGTGAGTGAATTCTTCGAAGCCATGGCTGCCCTCTACGACGATCCCCAGAGGACCTCCACTGCTGAGTCCCCCCTCCATGCTCTACTACAAGGTCGGCGGCCTGTGGGGGACTACATAGTGGAGTTCCGTAAATGGTCTGCAGCCACCGGTTGGAACGATGCAGCATTGAAGTACCAGGTCCGCCTAGGCATGTCCGAGTCCCTCAAGAACGAGTTAGCTAGGGTGGAAACTCCCTCCTCCTTGGTGAACCTTATCTTGCTCGCTACTCGATTGGATCGGCATCTACGGGAAAGATGCGCTGAGCGTACTCAGACCTTTCGGCCCACTTGGGTTCTGCCAAAAGTTCAAGGGCCAATGGCTCCTGCCCTTGCTCCGCAACCCATCAACAATTCGGTGGTAGAACCTATGCAAATCGGCCTTCTCCGACCTGCCCTAACTCCGGAAGAAAGGCTACGCAGACAGCAAGGCAACCTCTGTCTTTACTGTGGGGCCACGGGCCACTTCCTGCATAGCTGCCCAGTACGCCCAAGTAAGTCCAGCCAGCCCTATCTTTGTACCTTTAGCTATCCGGGACTTTAACCACCCATGTGATTCTTCCCATGTCATTGCAGGTGGCTGGAAGGAACGTCAAGTTGCGGGCAGTCGTTGACTCGGGAGCTTGTAGCTGTTTCTTAGACATCCAATTGGCCAAGGACTTACATATCCCTCTTCTGCCTAAGAAACAGAGACTTGACGTCTTACTTGCGGATGGCACTACTCCAAGTTCCGGACCTGTTACCCAGAAATCCATTCCTATTTTTGCAACCACCGACTCCGGCCATCAGGAGTTTATTCGTTTTGACATGATCAGATCCCCCATGTTTCCAGCCATCCTAGGAATATCCTGGTTGCAAGCCCACAACCCACAGATCAATTGGCCTGTCACAAATTAGCCTGCAGCCTTTTGTGTGTTTATTCTTACCTCCTTGCTGCTCTTGATTCCTTCACATGTGTGTTTGTCTGTACTCACCTGTGGGCGTCGTCTGCTATCCTCTGGGTTTTATGTCCCCTTTCATCACTTCCTGGCCCGCCTCCTAGCTGGCTTGTCTATTTAAGACATGCTCAGTCTGTCCCACTTTTCCTGAGCAACTTCGTGTTGTTGGAGCTCCCTTGTGTTTCCGCTGTGAATCCTGTGTTGTCTATCTGTGTACCGACCTCGGCTTTGTTCCTGACCTTGCTTGTTTTCCGCCTGTCCTGACCTCGGCTTGCCCATTGGATTCCCTGTGTCTTCTCCCGTTGTACCCTGCTCCTGCTAGCGGTCTCCTCCACCTCAGCTGGGTGTACCTGGGGGCCGCGACCTGATCCCAGCCTGCAGCAAGTCCATCCCCACCATCTGGGGCCCTGGTGAACAAGCAGGCTGGAGCTTAGACTCCGTGCCCTGGGGAACCCCAAGCTGTGGACCTATAGAGCTCACTACCATAGGCGTTGACATGGCCCAAGAAGGAAATCATCTTTTCTTCAGAATATTGTCTACAACACTGTGGTGCCCCTACACCCACCAATTCTTCTTCCATATGTCTCTCAGTCCAACCTTCACCAGAGGCCAGTCAATCAGTTCCCTCTACCTACCATGACTTCCTCGATGTGTATGATAAAAAGAAGGCCGACACATTGCCTTCTCATCGGTCTTACAATTGCCCAATTGAGTTACTCCCAGGGGCAGAAATACCATTTGGGCGAATTTTCCCATTATCCGAACTTAAACTGGAAGCCCTCCGGCACTACCTAGACGAGAATCTCGCTAAAGGATTCATCCGCCCCTCTTCCTCTCCTGCCGGGGTTGGTATTTTCTTTGTAGAAAAAAAAGATCGGTCTCTTAGACCTTGCATTGACTTCAGGGAACTTAATAAAATTACCATTAAAAACCCGTATCCTCTTCCTCTGGTGCCCGAGTTGTTTCAGAGATTTTGAACAGCCCGAGTGTTCACTAAACTGGACTTACGGGGGGCCTACACTTTAGTCCGTATAAGAGAGGGCGATGAGTGGAAGACCGCCTTCAGAACACGCTTCAGACACTTTGAATACCTAGTAATGACGTTTGGGCTCTGTAATGCCCCTGCTACATTTCAACATTTTGTGAACGACATCTTTAGAGAGTACCTTGACCTTTTTATGATCCTCTACCTGGACGATATCCTAATTTTCTCTACCACACTGGAACTCCATCGTGATCACGGTAGGAAAGTACTAAACACTCTAAGGATGCATGGCTTGTACGCCAAGGTGGAGAAATGTGAGTTTGAGAAGCAGTCCATCCAGTTCCTGGGGCTCATAATTTCCACCGAGGGGATCTCCATGGACCCTCAGAAAGTATCTGCTATCGTGGATTGGCCTGCACCTTCAGACAGGAAAGGATTCCAAAGATTTGTGGGTTTCGCCAACTTTTATCGGAAATTTATTAACCACTAGCCTACAGGGCACTTATACCCCCTTCCTGCCCAGGCCAATTTCCAGCTTTCAGTGCTGTTGCACTTTGAATGACAATTGCGCGGTCATGCAGCATTGTACCCATATGAAATTTTTATAATTTTTTTTTTTTTGACAGATAGAGCTTTATTTTGGTGGTATTTAATCACCTCTGGGTTTTTTATTTTCTCTTAAACAAACCAAAAACCACTGAACATTTTGAAAAAAAAAAAAACTTTTTTCTTAGTTTTTGTTATAAAATTTGTAAATAAATGATTTTTCTCCTTCACTGATGTGCGCTAATGAGGGTGCACTGATGGGCACTGATAGGCTGCACTGATGGACACTGATAGGTGGCACTGATGAGGAGGCACTGGTAGTACACTGATGGGCATTGATAGGCAGCACTGATGGGCACTGAAAGGCAGACTCATATAGGGAACACTGATAGGCATCACTGTGGCACTGTTAGGTGGCACTGTGTACTGATATCCCACTCCACACTGATAGGCAACTGACTGGCATGATAGGCGGCACTGACTGGCACTGATAGGCGGCACTGATTGGCAGCACTGATAGGTGGCACTGACTGGCATTGATAGGTGGCACTGACTGGAACTGATGGGGACACTGAAAGGCAGCTCGATGGGCAATATGTGGAATTTGGGCACTGTTTACATGTGGGCATCAGCTGTGGCATGGACGAGCACTGAGAGCTGCACTGATGTACACTGACAGGTGGTGCTGCTAGGGCTACACAGATCAGGGAACACTGATCATCGTGCCCTGATGATCAGTATAGATATCCCCTCCAAGGAATGCCGATTACCGGCTCTCCTCTCCTCACAAGCTGTCAGCTTGACAGCTCATGGGGAGAGAAATGCCGATAAATGGCATTTCCCTGTTTACATGTGATCAGCTGTGATTGGAGACAGCTGATCACATGACCGAGCAGACATCTTCGGCTCTTTCCGTGGATCGGTGATCCGCTGTGTCTGAGGGACACAGCGCACTGCTGATCGCCGCGCTGCGTAGTTAGAATGGGAGGACATCATATGATGTTTTCCCAGAACAAGAGAACCACCTTGCGTCCATCATATTACTGTATGGCGGGCGGTGGTTAAGGGCTTTTCCACAAACATTGCCCCTATTACTCAACTCACCCGCTAGCATACATGATTTTGCTGGAGCCAGGAAGCTCAAAAAGCGTTTGAGCAATTAAAAGATGAATTCAATCAGCTCCTGTGTTACAGCATCCAGAGCCAAAACTCCCCTTCATCCTGGAGGTAGACGCATCTGAAGTTGCTACAGGAGCCATACTCTCTCAGCGCCAGGGCTCAAAGGCTCTGTTTCACCCAATAGCTTTCTGTTCTAGAAAAATGAGCCAAGCCGAGAGGAACTACAGTGTGGGAGATAGGGAACTTTTAGCGATTACGATAGCATTCGAAGAATGAAGATATCTCTTGGAAGGAGCCAGCCACCCAATTATAATTTTCACAGATCATAAAAATCTGGAGTATCTAAGGTCTGCCAAGCGCTTAAGACTTCGACAGGCTAGATGGGCTTTATATTTCTCCAGGTTTAACTTCCACATAACCTACAGCCCAGGATCCAAGAACGGGAAAGCAGATGCCCTTTCCTGCATGTTCCCGGACCCAGAGGAGCCTTCTCCCCCAAACATCATTTTGTCGGCCCAAAATTTTTTGCTGATTCAACCCAGCCTAAAGTCTTTCATCAAGCAAGCCTCTGCACTATGTCATGAACCCGAACAAAATTTGCGCAGAAGGCAGGATGGTCTTCTGTGGCACAAGGATAAAATCTTTGTACCCCAAGAAGTGAGGTCTCAAGTTTTCAGGGCTTTCCATGACCATCAACTGGCTGGACACTTTGGAGCCCATAAGACAATGGAACTAATCCAGCGATCCTTCTGGTGGCCCAACTTGAATCATGACTGTAGAGCTTATGTGAAGTTGTGCACAGTGTGTCTGTGGAACAAAGGAGACAAAGCCAAGGCCTGGAGGTTGCTGAGACCCCTGTCATTACTGATCGTCCCTGGGAGATGGTCACAATGGACTTCATTGTGGATTTGCCTCCCTCGGAGGGGTTTACTACCATTTTGGTAGTAGTGGATCGGCTATCCAAGATGGTCCACTTTTTACCAATGGTGGGTACTCTATCCATACCAGAGACTGCACTAACCTTCATCAAAGAGATTGTCAGGTTACATGGTCTGCCTAGTAATATCGTCACAGACCGAGGGGTGCAGTTTACGTCCAGGTTCAGGAGAGCCCTCTACAAAGCCCTGAAGGTCGAACTCTGCTTATCATCTGCCTACTATCCCCAGAGTAACGGGCAAACGGAGCGAACAAATCAGACTTTGGAGCAATATTTACTGTGCTTCTCTGCTTTTTCTCAGGATGATTGGGCATCCCTACTCCCATTGGCAGAATTTGCCTACAACAATTCAGTCCATTCTGCTACAAACCAGTCGCCATTTTGGGCCAATTATGGATTTCACCCTTCCCCCATACCTGACACCATTCCTGAAGCTTCGGGACCGGCAGTACAGGACAGATTCTCCATGCTACAGAACAACTGTAAAGTCCTCCGAGAGTCTATGCTGAAATCCAAGGCTGATTATAAGAAACACTACGACAGGAAATGGAGAGGAAACCCTCCTCTGAAGATTGGAGACAGAGTTTGGCTATCAACTGACAATCTAAAACTCCCGTGCCCATCACGTAAGTTGGGTCCAAGGTACATTGGCCCTTTCCGGATCAAGACGGAAATCAATCCAGTGGCGTTTGAGCTGGTCCTTCCGGAAACATACAAGATCTACCCAGTTTTCCACGTCTCCTTGCTCAAGCCAGCTGTTCCTGATCCTTTTCCAGGGAGAGTAGAACCACCTCCTGCGCTGATAACAGTTGGAAAGGAGACGGAATACGAAGTTGAATCAATTCTGGACTGCAGAAGGCGGGGAAGACAAATCCAGTACCTGGTCAGATGGAAGGGGTACCCACCTGAAAACCCAAAAGGGAGTGTACATGCCCCCAGGCTTCTCCAAGAATTTCATTCCAAGTATCCTGAAAAGATGGCCCAGGTGGGCATCCGGAGGCTGCCCTTTAGGGGGGGGGGGGGCACTGTCAGGGTCCTGTCCACGGCAGTAGTTCTGGAAGATCTGGCATTTCTGCCAGTACTTTACATGGCCGCAGAAGTACACATCAGCCTCAGTCTGGTGCCAGGCGGCCTTTATAATGAGGCTCATCACTTCCTCTAGTTGCTGGATGATCTCTAGCTCCCCGTGCCCTGTTCCTGGTTCCTGTTTCCTGTGATTCTGACCTGTGATTTCCTGTTACCCACTCGGCTTGCTCCTGGACCTGTCTACTCTGTTTTACCCCTGATCTGACCTTGGCTTGGCTTATGGATATTCTCTCTCTCTCGCTCCTCTGTGTATGACCTCGGCTATCCCATCTGACTATGTCTGCTCTGATTCCCACCTGGTACCTGACCTTGGCTTGAACCAACTACCCAGTAAACATCTAAATCCTAGAAGTGCTTGCATACCACGCACAGGCGCCTCCTGTCTGCAGACCTATCTCCGTGCACCAGCTGTGCTTCTGAGTGGACCACCAACCAGCACTCCTACAGGTGACCTGTGCAACTTTGGGCCTGACTCCCGCCGTCCCACTCTCAGGGGAGTCTGGAACTTAGCCGCAAGGGAAGCCCTCTCTCCATTGGCCTCCATCACCAGGTACGTGATAATGCTTATGTGCACCAATGACAAGATGGGCCCCAACATTAGCCGGCTGGAGGTCTAGGGTATAGGACTGTCTAGATAAGCGACTCTATAAAGACTTCTGGTATTGTCTGTAGAAGTGGGGGTTGCTGCAGTAGACCAGAGCTATAGTCATCACCTCTAGAATGCACTCTAGTAATGTGATGTAAAGATAGCAGGTAAAGTTATTGCATTATTGTTTACCCTTACAGTTAATGTGGTTCCTGGCATTGCTTGCGCTGATCAGCAGGTTATCAAGTATAAGTCCTACCAACTATATTGAGTCCTATAACAAACTGCTACAAGCTAGTGATTGCATTGTCTAGAGAACATTCTACCTACTTTCATATACTGTATATACATAAAAGTTTCTACTTTAAACTGTTATAATATAATGTACTTCTTTATCACTAACCAGACTGTCAGCACCAATCACATTGGCCTCAAGCTGCCTATTTAATGGAGACCCTGGTATGTGTTAGTCGCTGGAAGCTCTTCAGCTTTTCCTTGATCCGTGTTCCTGCTTTGGCTGGCTCATCTTCCATTGCTGACCCGGCTTGTTGCTGACCTTGCTCTGTGGATTTTGGATACTGAACTCAGTTTGTCTCTGATTATTCTCTGGATGCAAATAGAGAAACAGAAAAAGGGCGCACCGACCTAGTGCATTATCGTTTAAAGATTTATTGAAGAACAAAGTAAGTATCATACTCCAAATAGACATAAAAACACAGGCATGTCAAACTGAACAAGATCTAGGATCCAAACAACATCTGAGTCCATACGATGGAACCCTGGATGACCAACTGGCTAACACGTTTCGAGGACACAACCTCTTCCACAGAGCCAGTTGGTCATCCAGGGTTCCATCGTATGTTGTTGTTTGGATCCTACATCTTGTTCAGTTTGACATGCCTGTGTTTTTATGTCTATTCTGAGTATGATACTTACTTTGTTCTTCAATAAATCTTTAAACGATAATGCACTAGGTCGGTGTGCCCTTTTTCTGTTTCTCTATTTGCATCCAGTGTATTTGGACCACCCCGGTCTGTTGAGGGCAGCAAGCAGTGCATATTCCAGAAAATTCCAGAACATTCCTATTGGGTCTACTGGGTCTTTTCCTAGCACATGAGAAAAGTGTTTGTTGTGTCTGATTATTCTCTGCCTGCTTCCCTGGTACTGACCTCAGAGGCCTGCTTCCCAACCATGATGGTGCCTCACCGTGTATGACCCCGACTCACCATGACTACGTCTCTGACTGTGGCAATCACCTGCTACCAAGCTACTGGCACCTGTGCTTCTTTGAGCCCTGTACTTCTATCACCACATTCAGGGGTGCTCGGACCAGAGCTACAAGGGAAGTCCTTTCATCACCTCGGTCTCCAACCAAGGTACATGACTGGTGCCTATTTATAATTATTGAATGATAGTGGTGTGCAAAATATCTATCTCTGTGCTCTTAACAGTATTACAGCATCTATTTGCTTGACCTGGTGTGTCAGAGGGGCTAAAGTTGAGTCGAGGCACAGAACAGAGAACCCAAATTACCAAGCTCCTTCAGGACTAGTACTACATTTGTATACTTTTATAGCATTTAACTGGTAAAAAAAAAATGACAGCCCAACATTGGGGTATATTTATAAAGCAGTGAGCATGACATTCACATAAATACTAACTGTCCCGGATATTCCGGGGCATTTCCACGTCTTGGTCCTCTGTCCCAATAATGCTGTGTCTTAGGGTAGTTCTACATTTATTAACTCAAAAAGGCGTATTAGCCAGGGAATCACAGGTGCAAGTAGGTGGTTCCTACATAATTAGGAGTGGGGCCACCCAGAAACTGGGAGTGATCTAACCGGGGCCAACAGGGAAGTGGGCGTGATCATGGTGGGCTGCCTGGAAGGTGGAAGTATCAAGTGTGGGCCATGGGAGTTGGTGACATTGGATGGTCTCTATATAATTAGAGTTGGCATGACCCAG